AAAGTAGAGATCCAAAATTATGTTGTTGAAAATGTCCATTAGCAATTGATCCAATAATCCCACCTACTTTGCAGCATTCAAGCCTTCCCAATAATCTTTTGACTCTTAAGTGCAGGAAAATTTGCAGCTTTCCCCATTCTGAGTAGTCTGTTTTTTTTATAGTAACTAATGTACTTAAATGTAGCTGACAGGTGACAAGAATAGCTACTAAGCATCCCTAATCCCTAATTTTTTTCTCACCTTCCCCTGTGCAATCACAAGACACAGATTATGCTTTAGGGCCCGATGCTGCTCACAACGGAGTCATTGACTAAACTTCTGGGGGCTTCAGTAGGAGTAGGATCTCAACCTCATTCCTGAAGTGTCATTGTAACATATATGACAAACACAGGCATATCTTTGAGAATAAGGTTATCTGCATATTTGTGAGGGACTGTATTATGGTTGGCTAGGGATTGTTACTAAGCCCCATTCAGGAACTCAAATCATTGAGGCGGGAGAATTTATTGCAGACCTTGGGACCAGTAAACAAATCAAGAGAAGTACCACCCGCTGGGGTGAATTGCATATACTGGCGCCATTCTGTGAGGTGGTGCAGTTACCTCAGAAGTATGAAAGGCATCATTCACGAAACTGAGCATTTGTTTACCAGTTTATCTGCTTCACATTATTATTAATATGTTGTCCAGTGGCACCTAGGAACTCCACTCATGAATCACAATGGCACTGTACAAACAGATAACAAAAAGACAGATGCTGCCACAAAGAGCTTACAGTCTAAGTAATCACATCTCTCAGACTCAAATTTAGTTTCTTCATCTAATAGTTCACAGGTGTTGCACAGAACATGATGAGAGCTCTGTCTTTTCAGCATAAACAATAGAACAGGCATAGATTGTTTCTAAACAGTACCCTACCAATTCTGCTTAAAAAGAAATAAAACAACTTGGAAGAGAAAGAACGATGGTGGCTCTGTTTAAATTGACTACATTAGAAAAAACAAAATTGTAAACTACATGGCAAAAGTAAAGAGGAAATGTCTAGCTGCTTTTCCATTTAAGGCATGACATCACTGCCGTATATTTAATCAGCTAGATAATAAATTATTTACAGACTCAGAACCAGTAAGTTCCTTAAAGGATTTAGAAATGGAAAGAATAGCCCTTATGATGGTAATAATGTTTAGGATAAAGCTAATTCTTTGAGTTGATTCTGCTGAAATATATACCATAATTGAAATTACTCCATCATATACTTTTTCTTTAATTCCTTTCACATTGTTATTGATCTCTCAGGAATTTCAGTGTAAATGGAAGTTTTATCTTTCCTTCAGTGATATTGCTCTTCCAATACTTGTGCCTGATCCTGCCAGGCATGATGGGGTTCCTGGGACATCATAGAATATCAGAGTTAGAAGGGACCTCAGGAGGTCATCTAGTCCAACCCGCTGCTCAAAGCGGGACCAATCCCCAACTAAATCCCTAAATGGCCCCCTCAAGGGCTGAACTCACAACCCCAGGTTTAACAGGCTAATGCTCAAACCACTGAGCTATCCGACATGCTGAATGGCTGCAAATCCACATTCTTCTCTAAGGCAACTTGATTGCAGTGGGAGTTGAGGACACTCAACCTTAGGTCTCAGTCCTCCAAGGTGCTATGTCTACACTTAAAACACTACAGCAGCACAGCTGCATCTGTGCCACTGTAGTGCTTCAGTATAGACATTTAGTACAGTGACAGGAGGGGTTCTCCCATTGCTGTAGTTAATCCACCTCCCTGACAGGCAGTTGTTAGGTTGATGGAAAAATTCTTCTGGGTCTTAGGTCAGCTTAACTACATCGCTCAGGGGTGTGGATTTTTCAGACCCCAGAGCGATGTAGCTGAGTCGATCTAATTTTTTAGTATAGACGTGGCCTTAGTAACTGCAAAATCACATATATCTGTTTATAGTGTTAATGAATGAATCAGGAAGGAACAGAATTCTGTTAGAAAGGAGAGATTTTTCTATTCAAGTTATAAATATATTGGTGACAATAAAAAACCCAATTCTGCATTACTTGCATACCCCAAATTCCCAGTGACTTAAAGGAAGTTTAGAATACTCATGGTATGCTGGATGAAGCATAAAGATTGGAAAGGTCTTCCAGAAAGCATGCATGACTCAAGCAGGTTTGGTTAAAATATTACAATTCTTCTTGTATGATAGTATTTATTTTACTAACTTCTAAAGAATCATGAAGCCAGAGTAGTTCTAGAAAGGAACCAACTGAGTGGGTTTTCAATTGGACTAAAAGTTGCTGCTTCTTATGTAGATATTTAGTTAACTGTCTCCCAAATTAGGTTTGTGCAGCTATATTGGGCAAAATTCACTGGGCACCTCAGCCTGAGCCACACCAACTTAAACTCCCCTTAGACGCGTACCCAGTTAATGAGGTGTAGCCTATACCTCTTACACATCACGTCTGAATTTTGCTCACTTTTGAATCTGAGGGAATATAAATTTGTGTAATCTATATGCTAAAGATCCAGAAGAGAAGACATTAGGGGGAAAGCAACTAATAAGAGGTATTATTTAAGGAAGGTTACCTCTTACTGCAGGACAACCATGCTGCCAAGTCTCTGCAGCCCATACCTTCCCCCAAAACTCCCACTCAGACAGGTTCCCACATCACAGATGCGGTGCTTAGCAAAGTTAACATTGACTCTGTGAGTATATTAAGTTAGCTCTGGAATCTCCATGGGGCTAGTGGTGGAAGAATGATGCTTGACTTCCCCAGTTCCACCCTACACCACCTCTGACCCAGCCCACCCCATCCTATAGGCAGATACCTATTCCTACAAGGAAGAGCTTCCACAAGATATAGGGTGGATGCCATAGAGGTGGCACTGCCCACTTTTGCACTCCCTGATGAGGATCTGTGGGGTTTTCATCCTATGAAGGTAGAAGAGATGATACGGCCTGCAAAAAGCCTAAAATTCCAATGTTTGATATTGTCAAGGATATTACCTTAGATTCTCCATTAAGTTCAGTCCTGTATAGATACTCACCGGAGTGTCCTAATTTGACCTAGTCCCTGTGGAGCCTGTAAAGTGTCAGTGATCACTATACTAACATTTTAATAAGTGCTTTGCACAGTCTTAATATAGCATGCATTAATACAACCTAGAGCATAAACATTTACCAGCTGTTTTATTCAGGTACTTCAGACAAAGTCTGGGTTTCATTTTAGATGCTCAGTAACCGCATGGAGCATCATTAAATCCTGTATCTGAATTCTAAAAGCAGGACTTAGGGAAATAAATACCCATTTTATGTGCTCATGTGTCAATTTGAGTAGCCAGGGCGAGTATGGACATCCTTATATTTGAAAAGTGGGCCCAGAGGGTGAAAAAACAAATTGGATACTATATCTTGCATTGGATACGGTCCTTGCATATCTTTAGTAAGACAGGCAAATTGCCTATCACTGAAGTGCATATAGGTCTATTATTCCATCACCTTTTCAGTTATATTTCCTTATAGCCTTCTATTTGATATGCATCAAAACTCTCCTTCAACAAACTGTCTCTGAATGTCAGTAAAGTATTATGCAAATACATTGAGCTGTTCCGCTCTCTCAGGTACACACTGCACATATTTTAGGTATTATAAAATGCCATCACTTGAAAGGCATTGTGGTCCTGTGGAATGAACACTTCAGGATTTTGCATGGTGCTGTGGAACACCACACGCAGAGGGTATTTCTCGATAGGCAAAAAGGGTGTGTTTTTCAACTGAATTAGCTTAACAGATTGAAAAGAGGCATTACAATGCAGGCTAACCAGTTTGAAGCCATGTTAGCTGGCCATGGTGTAGGCTCCACACTAGGCTACAACAGGACTTTAAAAGTGTTAGACTGCATCTCGCAGGGCTTTTGCTTAACACAACTGAAAATGAGGCCTAAGCACACAAGGGCTTTCAGTGAGATTTAAATGGTACAGAAAATTGTGCTGACCCTGTGTGTGGAGTGAATTTCACACACATACTGCAAACCTTGTCCCCTGGGTCTCACTGAAAAGGATGGCTTGTTTGAAACTGTGGTTTTTACTTTCATTAAATACTTAAGTTCTTTCAAGATTTTCCTTGGACTGATAGTGATTCTCATCTCTGGGAAAGATGACTTGCTGCAGGAAGAGCTATTTCTGCTTAGAGTTCTAACAAAGAAAAGCAAAAATGATATGCCCAACATGTTAGTTTTGTCTCCAAGCCCTGCTTCTTGCTTTTCCCACAAGGGGAAGCTAATTGGATTACTGTGTATGCTCCCTACACCGTTCCACAGAGCAGGTTTTTGGGGTAGGATGGAAGGCTTTTTTCCTCTAAAGCAAGGTCAAATATACAGGCACTTCCATCAAATCCATTGTTCTTTGTGAAAGTTCTTTGACTCACTTAAATAATGCATACCATGTGATTTGCAAGTTGCAACTATACACATAGAGTTTTACTCAGTGATATGCACCTCTCACCCAAAAATGAAGTGCTTTCTACTTACACAAATGAAAAAGGGTAATTCTACTGTAAATGAGATAGCATGAGATCAGTGCTATCTGGGTGATAGTTTGCTGTTCAAATTAAAATTTTGGTCATTACTAGTTGCTGAAAATATTCTATGCATCGTCACATCTCCAAAAAGTCGCTAATATCTCATGGTTACCTTGAAAAAACCTGCACCTGATTCACCACTGTTAATCCATTTCTATGCCAGTGTAACTCCATTAAAAATAATTACTCTTCTAGCTCATCTCTTTATTTCTCTTTTCTCAGTTGTTACTAAACATTTAGTAAGATTTCACTAAGGATTTATCTGCAGCTGTTCCTTACCTGACATCAACCTTAGTTTACAGCATTACAACTCATGATTGTATAACAGATTTGAAGTAAACAGAGGTTAAGGCATCAGGCTTCACAGAGAATTATAATTTTAAGTTTGAAATAAGCGGCAGGAAAGTATGAACTCTTTAAGAACCAAAAGATCCTGCTTTAATACAAGTATTTGTTTATTAATATACAAAACAAGGAATAAGCAAAGTAAAAAATGAGAGAATATTTTCATTGTTTTGTCCATTAAAAATCAATCACTTTGTAATTCTAGTTCCAGATTCTATCTTAAAAGGATATATTATCCCCTTGATACATGTGTATAACTTCTATCATTGGTTTAACTATAACACTATCACCAGGGTAACTATAACAACTCAGGGAAAAGACCTGAGTATCTTTGTGGATAGCTCAATGAAGACCTCTGCCCAATACCCAGCACTGGCCAAAAATAGCAAACAAAAATGTTAGGATGTATAAGAAACAGGATAAAGAATAATACTGAAAATATCACAGTGCAATTATGTATATCAATGGTACAGCCTTACTTGGCATGTGAGGTTCAGAGATGGGCAACAAGAATTATTAGAGTCATGAAAAAACTTAAAATTGGGACTCTTTGCCACAGAAATGGATAAAAGGATATACAAAGCAATGAATAGTAAAAAAAAAAAAGGGGGGGGTAAAGTCAGCCACTGCTGTTCACCCATTCTCATAACACAAGAATTAAATTTAAAGATGGCAAGTTTAAAAATGATGAAAGGAAATACTTTTTTGTTCAACATTAAAGAGTATGTGGAACTCATTTCTACAAGATATAATTGAATTCAAGAGCTTAGGAGGACTCTACTAAGGATTGGTCAATACAGCGTTAGCAAGAATATACACAATTGTAACAGCAAATATTAATAAACAAGAGTTTTGAATGAGATATAAACCTTCATGCTTCAGGTTATAAGACAACCTCTGATTGTTGGAGGTCAAGAGGAAAACTTTCCTGAGGGTAGGTTATCCATACATGTCTATTGCAGGATTCTTGCACTTTCCTCTGAAACAGCTGGTACACTGTCAGACAGGACCAGGCCCGCTGACAGGAATTCCGGGCCCCAGGGCCAGGACCGTCCTTAGGGGGGGCAGGGCCTGGAAGTGATGAATCCGTTACCTCCAGGACCGACCCCGCACCGGCCCGGAGGGCCCCCCAAAGTGTGGGGCCCGGCTCCGGAGCGGTCATGTGTACCTAGGAGTCCTGCTGCCTGCCCAGGCAATTTGCCCTTTTAAATCACCCGGGTCCCTGGGCAATTGCCCCTTTGCCACCCCCTGTCGGCGGGCCTGGACAGGACACAAAAATAAATGGACCACTTCTCTGTTTCAAAAAGGCAGTTCCTATGGCTCTATCCATGCTAGCAATTATTACTGATATATATTGATTATTAAAATCCACTGGCTTTTAATTCAAGGTTTCAAATTGCTATGTTTTTGTTGACAATAGCAGCAAAATTCCGAATAGTTTAAATAAAATTATGAAATATCTTTGGGCCAGATCCTCTCCTTTGCTCTAACCCCTTTGCGCTACTCAGGTAGCACAAGGGCTGTAAATGGCCATTGGCAAAACCACTGGGTGGAGAGGAAATCCTAGCTGGTGTAAAGTCGCTGGAGCCAACTGCTGCCCCACACAGGCAGCATATTGAGGGAGGGAGTTTGGTGGGGGTGAGGCTGGTCCTACTGTGTCGATCCTCCACAGGCATAAATTTCAACAGCTTATAGCCTGCTGTAACTTATGTCAGGGCTGGCCCAGTGCAGAATCAGGGAGTCACAGCAGGCTCCCTGAAGCTGCCTCTCCCTCAGCTTCGGGGTGAATCGAACTCATAAACTCAGTTTAAACATTGGAAACAAATTACTAGTAAGCTGTCCTGCAGTCAGTACATACCCTCTCCCGGTTTTAGTGTCCACATTTTTCACATGTATTTGCCTGTGTGTAGGTTAGCAACGATAGGCTGCGGGTGTAAAATAGGTTAGTCTATGATTGAACTGATTTTTTTCTTTTTAAAAATGCCATCAATTTTTCCTCTGAGAATATCTGTTATTTCCCAAGGAAAAATAAGCAAGCAAAAGAGACCCCTGGTGGAATTGCCATACAACATATCTGCCAGCTGCAGTCAGCATTCAAGATTCTTCTCTGCTAACTTATCAAGCTAAATAACTTTGAGTCATGTTTCTACTCTGTATTTTTCTCCTAGCCACTGTAGTGTTCAAACAGGGGCATTCACTCGGTTTGCTTGTCTCAGCTCCAGACAAAGAGAGAAAGAGACACACAGCACAAGTACACACGAGATGTTGGCATCTCCGCTTTTGCACTCACCTGTCAATACTTATCACACACAAAGTCATAATGGAAGCAGTGCAACACATCACATCCATAGCAATGAAGACATTACAGAAAACGTGGCCAAAGATCCACTCTCCTCCAATGAGGTCCGTTACGCTGACAAAGGGCATGACGGCCAGCGCTACCGAGAGATCGGCCAAAGCCAGGGAGACAATGAGATAGTTGGAGGGCTGCCGGAGTTTCTTTACAAAGCACACGGAGATCACCACCAGGCAATTGCCCGCGATGGTCAGCAGAGTGATGAGGGAGAGAATGGCCCCGATAACAACTTTCTCCATGTTGCCGTAGCTGAGGATCTGCTCCCCGCAGCGAGTGTCATTGTCGGCCGCCAGGCTGGAAGCGGGGCTGGGGCTGGCGGTGACATCCTGGATGATCTTCAGCCAGCGGGGGTGCAGGGAGCCAGCCACCATCCCACTGCTGCTCAGCTCGCGGGGAGCCTCCAGGGCGAAGGCTCGGAGGGGGCCGGACACGTGACTGCTGTTGATGTCCATAACCATCTTGACGGGTGCTGCCCATGAAGCCGCCGGCCGGCTCCCAACACGCTGGGTCCTGGGGAGGGTCCCCGAGCCCGCTCAGCCCCCAGCTCTCCGGGGCTCGCCCCCCACCCCCGACCCGGGCAGGGGCTCGCTCGACAGTCCGCGGGAGAAGCGCCTCAGCCCGGTTAGCTGATCATTGCCACCAGAGGTGGGGCGGGTGCCTCAACTTCCCCATGCCCCGCTGCGCTCGCCGGCTCCGCGCCGCTGGCCGCGCTCCGCGGGGGCGGGCATCTCGCCATGGGGTCAGCCTGCCCTGAGCGCTGCCGTCGGGGAGGCCGCGCCCCACAGCGCCCGCTGCTCCCTCCTGACCCGGGAGGCTGCCTGCTCTTCGCCCGCAACTGCCGCCTCCACAGCCGCGCCGGCCCCCGCCCAGCCTAGCTACCTGCTGCGGGAGTTGCGGGGAGGGAAGTTTGAGTCTCCCTGGCTGCTCCGCCCCTCGCCCGCCTGCAGCCGCTCGCAGCTGCCTCAGGGCTTCAGTAGCCTGCCCCTCTGAACTGGGGCGGGAGCGTCGAGTCGAGCGGGAGCAGAGCAGGGTCACACAGGGGTCTGCCCACAGCTCTGCCCGCGACCCCGGCAGCTATGGACCCGTCCTGGGCATGCCCCCCTCTGCGCCGTCCCCCGCCACCCTTGCTTGGGGGAAGGGGCCGGAAGGCGAGGAAAGGGGGTAGGAGGAGACGAGGGGAGAGTGGGAGGAAAAGGAGGGGGCCCTTAGGACTGCAGGCTGGGATGAGTAACTGCTCGCATCCTAGCCCTAGCCCCAGACTGGCACTGAGACTGTGGTATGCTCCGTGTGGGACCAGGGGACCTCTGAAATCACAGTCCCGGGAGGACGTGGGGATGTGGAGAGCCAGGCTTTGCACTCCCACGAGGTTTCGCAGAAGGAAGAAGAATCTTAAGGAGCTCATTTATTTGAAATAGCAGGACCCAGGCGTGTTGGGAGGGCTGATGTACCCTGTACTCTGAGGGCTGAGATTCCTGTGGGATGCGCATTGTGAGGTGAAGAGCAAAGTTAACCTGAGAAGCTAACAAGAAATATCATTAGCAACGTCTCTTGCAGCAGATTTATCATTGAATTTGAGCTTGCCTGTGCCTCATAGGAACTCTATCCATTGCTAGCCTTTCTTTCCTAATTTGCTTGAAGGCTGATTCATTTGACCAGAGTCTGAATGAATTCCTGCTCCATTCATTTTCACTAAATAGCTGGGGATGGCCTCATGCAGTAGTGCATTTGCAGACCCCTAAAACTTTTGAATGACCCCCTTTGGATATCTTAGACATAGTCTATGGACCCCCAAGGGGTTGAAATCACTGCCATAGTGTGTTTCTCTCCTGATGAAATGTGAGCTGTGTTGGGCCCAGCCTAGTGATGGATCCATTCAGCAGCAATGATTCTGTGCACCCCAGCTGTGGTGGCCCTCTGTACAGGGGTCAGTTGCACCCAGAGAAGAGTCATGTTCTTGCAGGCTGCTTATCCAGCAAGAGTTTAGTAGTCATTGGTGTGATTCTACATTGTAAAAGGAAGTTTCTCACTGTTTTGACTGACCTCAGGGCCAGTTCTAGGGTCCCATTACTGGGAGGCGCAAGTGGGTATGTTGGGGCCTTGGATGTCACTATTTAAAAAACAACTAACCTTCCAGGAGTCCAGAGACTAGTTAGACCCCTGGAAAATCTTGGGTTTAAAAAGTAAAATTTGGCTACGATGTCAGTATTTTGGTGTGATTTATAATATATAAATAGGTACTTTGGTTTGGGGGTTTTATTTTATTTAATTTTTCCCAGAAATGTATCAGTATTTATTGCTACAACAAAAACAGGTGAAAATCAGTGGCAACAACTATTTATAATTTTTCTGGGTAAATATCAGCGTTTATTTTGGTGGACAGAAGGACGGGATGGGGGGAAGTATTCAGTAGATTAATGCTTTGATTAATGGAATTCAGTGTGGTTTGCTGCAGAATTAAAACAGAACTCCAAACACAATGCTACCTCTGAGTTTAAGAAAACAATATCTCTCTAATCCCCAAATAAAACTTTTCATTTGAATAAACATTTACTGTTGTAGACTTAGAACTATTAGCCTATAAATATTTACATTTAATAACTGGGCAACACCATTTGCAGTGCATTTACTCAACTTCTTTTCCTCCATTTTGGGGTCTTTTTAGAACTTTTAGCTACTTCCTTGTGTTCTGAAATGTATTCTGGTACAGATTTTTGTTTTCTTCCTATTTTAGTGTGTCAGATCTTAAACCATTATCTGCTAATTACTTGAAATGTGTACGTGAGGGCCATGAGATTCATCAGTACATTCAGATGCGCATGCGCTTCAGAGCTTGCATGTGTGCCTGTTTGTGTGTATCTTCTAGACTAATACACTAGACTAATAGGCTAAGCCTTACTTCAACAGGCAGCTTTGCATATACACACAGACTAATGAATTATTGTAATACATTTATCTCATGCAAAGTATTGTATTTTCCTAACAAAACAAGTAATTTTTTTATATATTTGAATGATACAACAGTAGGGTGAAAATCAGAAAAAAATGAATACTTTTTGTAAAAACCAGGATTTTTTCAGTAAAAATTGGTTTAAACTGAAAACAAAGGGGCTTATATGTAAAGGATGAAGCCTCTCCAATCTGCTGCCGTTCTGCTGCTTAACATTGGATAACTTTGCGCACATTTTGGCCTTTCTGACAATAGCTTTGGGGCCCCTTGAAGATCATGGGGGGGGGGGGCAATGTCCCCTTTTCCCCTCAGTAGTGCCAAGCCTGACTCAACTAGATGATTATGATACTGAGATCTGACAGAATTAAATAAGTTAAAGACAATAAAATGTGGAGGAAAGAGGAACTCTCTGCCAGTGGAAAGTCACTAGAGGAGATTCCATTGCCTCTGCACTAGCTGCCCTGACTCCCAGTGTAAAGAGAAGGAAGGGGTATGGGCATGGTGGGACAGAGTTCTGCCACAGCTGATCCTCCACTGGTGTAAGGTCCCTGAGGATCTCACACCAATAATGTATGTTGCTGCCCTGTCTTGTGCCAGGGCTGGGCGTCTATGAATCAGGCAGCCAACCCTGGCTCCCTGTGGCCCCCTACTCTCCATTCCATCCAATGAGAATCAAAGCTGTTGTCTTTTTCTGCATTTACTTGACAACTAAAGAATACAGAGGAGCCAGCAGGATTAATATTGCTATGATGGAAGATGTTAATGGCTGCCATCAAGAGACTCTTTAATCAATAGACAATCACATACCTAATTAAAGCTGATGGGTAGGCTAACCACCTTTTTTCAGGCTAAGTGGAAGAAGCAATTAAACCCCTTTACGGAGTGAGATAACTAGAAACAATAGGATGTTACCACCCAAGGCACTGGGCCGCATGGAAAAACCTGAGCACAGTGAAGCCACAACATCCAAGAAGTTTCCTGGGAATGATTGAAATGCAGAGGCTGAGGGAATGACTAATTGCAGCTGCAAGTGACTATATCTGAGAGGCAGAAAGCTAGAGATGCAGGGTATGAGTGGCCCTGACAGCGAGCAGGGGTCCTTGGGGCACAGGACTGGCTGAAAAGGCAGGTTTGGAATTTGTGAGCAAGGAAATTGACAGCTGTTCTTTGTAAATAAACAGATTTGCACCAAAGAAATACTTGATGCATATCATCAATTTCTCCTTCTAATGGAAACAACCCAATAAGGCCTTGAATACTGGCTAACCACTTGAAGCAAAGGGGCAACCAAATTGACAAAAATGCACAAAATAATCACCATCCCACCCCCCCCCCCACCCCAAACTTAAATACGGGCTGGTGTCAGGGATGTACAAAAAAATAAAAGTACGATTAACAGAACATTTTTCTTGCTTTTTCCCCTCTATTTCTTTATCCCTTTTTTCCTTTCCTTCCATGTCTGATCCATTCTGTCCATCTTCATATCATGTTTGTTTACCTATTCTTTTCTCTCTTTCTTTATTCTTTCCTTTCAACTCTTTCTCCTTTCAAAATCAGCATCTCCTTTCCGTTGGTGCCCATAAAGGTCTAGTAAGTTATTGCTGCTTTGAACATTCGCGTGCTGGGAATAATAAATAAGATATAGGTAAATGTCCCTCCAGCCTGTGGAGGATATGTTGTCAACATGTTGAACATATTTTACCACCATCTGAATTACATTCTGAAGCTAACTATTATTTGAACCTGGATTTCTATTCCCAGCATGTAGTATTTAGCACATCGTGTTTCTGTTTGACTTGTAGCAGAGATGTTGCAGCTGCAATTTTCTTTACTGGCTTTGTGAAAATAAATCACCACCACTTTGTGGTAGTAAAACAGAGTGGTAAACATTCATTTCTTTGGTGTTTCTTTTCTTCTTCTCAAAATAAATGTTAGCATCTGCTCAACTTAAACAAATGTGAAATGAATTTTTCACTTTTTTGATGACTACATTACATATACTGACTGCAGCAGGCAGCACAGCTGTGACAGATATCACATCCCCATGCAGTATCTTTAGGGGCCATTGTATTTAATTTATGAATGGTTTATATATGAGCATGATTGTGTTTTTCTCCAGGAAGAGGGTAACCACAGGTCCTCCAGGAACTAAAAATAATGTGTGTGTCGGGGAGGGGGGGTTATTAAAGTCAATCACAAACTAAACAGCTGGTTCAAGCTGGGTTTTCTAGAGACTAAGAGATAAAGAAAGGTCTTTTGGTATAAAAGGATGAGCCTGAATTGTTACCAGATCTTTTCTACTCCAGCAAATGGACAAGACCTTCTGTCCTAGAGGGGCCCCACCCATTGTGGAAGAGTTGGACAGTCTTTGGCCTACTAGGGCCCCTAAGAATGATAGGTGACTCCTGGTATCTTTAATGTATGTTTAAATCTGTTTATTGTTTTCAGATGTTTTCTCTGTAATACTTTTACCTTAAGAATAAATGGGCTTGCTTCAGGATGGATTTGATTTAAATCACTAGTCAGGAAGACTCAATTTAATCATGGATTTCTACATAAAAGTGCATTCTTGTTGGTTGTTATAATCTTATTATATATTCTTCACAACTCAGATAGATGTAGGTTTCATTTTTAGAAGGTACACACTATACCTTTTTAAAGTGATTTATTTTGAAAACTAATTTGAAAAATTAGTTTTACAGCTATATCAGAAAATGAATGATTGTTTGATTATTTCATTTACCAAATGTAACTGAAGCTGATATTTATGAAGTCATTGGGAGGTGAACTATCTCCAATTCAGCAGGTTAATCATTAATATTTGGAGGATTTTCTTGTGCTGTATTAGGAGGAGAGCATCACCAGACAGACATTTAAATTGTTTTATTCAACTAAAACAACAACGTTATGTATTCTGGATTTTTTTCTTCAACAGCAAACATATAATGCTTTAACAAAACAAGCATATGAATTTTAGTGTGATCCTTGCCCTTGCTTTTCCTTGCTGAGTTTTCCAATGTCTGGCACATATTTGGATACATTAAGATGCACACAGACTTCTGAGTGATCAGTTGTTAACCGGCTCCAAGAAGGACAGAGGACAGATTTCATGTGTGAAAATACCTGTTCACACAGGTATGTGGATCCAAATGCTGAAAGCATTGCAAACGCAATTTTCTTCAAACAGTTAAATTTCACTGGCAGGGATGTCCAGCGGGT